TTCATGAAGGTAATAAAAAAAATAAATTAAAAAAATGTCAAACTTTCAGTACCTATTATACGTGGATTATTTGAATTAGTATTGTACTTTTTTCTTTACTTTTTATTTTTATTTTTATTTTTTTTTTTTTCATCGGTTTGTTTTATTTGGCAAATCAAACTTCATGTACTTTCTTGATCAAAGACTTGTGTATGGTGGTCATTTCTATGCTAGGCCTACTGAGGAAGTTATTAGAATATAACATGTTTACTGACTTTTTCAATCTCTTCTGTCTTGTTTGCCATCTGTTATTCCACTCGCTGATAGTACTGCATACAGGACACGGTGATAGAAGATATATGTGTTGGTTAAGTGTATACAGTTTGTCATAGTAGTGAGTTCAGTCCCTGAGTCGGGCAGTGAAATCCATATAATCTATATCAGTGGAACAAGCAGAAACATTACCTCGAATTAAAAAAGTAACTAGTATGTGTGTGTTTTAACTCCTCATATATACAGTGTAATGAGAACTGTTTACCTTTTATGAATTGAATGAAAGGTTTGGCTTGAAATTCCAAAAATGTTAATGTATATTACAGGTACCTTAAGAAGGCCAGTTGCTATAATAGCCAACTATGTATGTAATTATAACAACCAAAATGAGGGTACCTGTTCAAATAATTCAAAGTAGAACCTATACTGTTATTCTACTTATTTGCATGTATGGTTGCTATACTTTTTTTTTTACCACAGAGTATAGTGTAGTATCTGTTCAATCTTCACCGTCTCTGACGTAGAATTAGTTACCAGAAAGAACCCAACTTATTAAATGGGGAAAAAATTGGAGAAAGCAAGGAAGAAGTCAAGGTAAAAGGAATGTAAAAGAGGAAAAGTAAGAAAGGTAGAGGAAAATGAAAAGAAAACCAGGTGAAAGAAAAAAATATATATAATGAGGAAGAATTGGATAGTCATGGAAGAAAGACCTAGAGAAACAGTCTTTCTGGCTGATCATAAAGATGGAGAGATAGTCAAGAACAAAAGTAAGAGGATTCAATAGAAAATATGTGTGCTTTCCTTAATCCTTTGCCATGTATGAAACTAATTAGGGAGTGAATGAGAAGATACAGGCAATAAGTGAGAGAAGAGCTGAAGCAAGAGATGATGGATAATCTGCAAATGGAATTTACATGGATTTCATTGAGCAACTCATGGTAATTCTTTATCTCAAATTACAATTGGCACATTTAGAATTTACTGTTTTACATAATATTTAATGAGGGTTGCCTGCTCATTGGATAATGATTGGCAAGCTGATCTTAAAAAGTGACTTTAGTCTGAATTGGATAATACTTGCTAGTACTCTTGTCCTGTACAAAACTGAATATGTCTACAATATTTAACAAGAAGGTAAAAGGGCTGGCCTCTTCTGCCTCATTCCTGCAAAACTGTGTTTTATGTGAAAGTCAAGAATCATGTAAATTTGACAGGTAAAGATCATAAGTGATAAGGTGATTGATTTTTGCTTTCAATTTATGAAGGAACCTTGCTGTGTAATGTGGTTAATAATCAGGTCATCTCTTGTAATGACAAGCATTAATTCAGTATATCAGGTTCATAGCTGATGCTTCATATGACTAATTTGAATGTTGCACATGAATTTAAGATTGTTTATTAGTCAAGAGATTTTGTATCAGCCTCAGTGATTGGTATTGAAAATAGTGGTAAACCTAAGGTAGTGCAGATGCGCTGGGTGCGACATGAAATAGCCACTACTTAGTAGTTTATATGATAGCCAGTCACGCCATGTTTAGATAGTGCACAATGTCAGATTTTAGTAAGAAATTTAGGGGTTGCACAATAAAATTGGTATTAACCACCTAATGTTGCTAAAGTGTTTGATATATTTATGAGAGCAATATCTTGTGGTTAGGGTTACAGCTTACAAAATCTGTCCTTATTAAAAATATTACATTTCTTTTGGGTATATCAGATCTTATCCACACAGACTAAATGCAACATAATTTTTTTTATTTAGAAATAAATATAAAATACATATAGGACAGAAAACTATTTGATTCATCCCATATCCTATGTAATAAAATAATTTTCTCTTACATGATATATGGACTCCTTAACATTTTATAACCTTTATCCATTTTTGATTTTAACTTTTCTACTCTTGACTTAACATTACTTGCAGTGTTTTCCAGAGTCCTTTCCCGATTCTTTCCCATTCTTGTAATTTGCTTTTAATGATGGGCTGCAGGTTTTCTTTTGGCTTAATTTTAGTGCCTTTAAAAAAAATAACTTTTTTTTTTTTTTTTTTTTGGGGACAAGGTCAGTAATAATCAGCTTTGCAGTTTAAAGAAGTGTTGTCTAACCTGAATATAGTTTTTAGTTTAAAATCTTCTTTATTATCATTTGTACCACTCAAAGAACATATTAAGAATAATTTTTTTCATTCTGAATGGACCTGTAACTTTACTGGCAATGATACTAGTCACAATCATTAACCCTAACCCTACCAACTGTTGTCTTCTAAGTCATGTTAGTTGACTATTTACTTTAAACATGTAAACCATTTGTAGGGCTATCCCTTACTAAACATTACTTTTGAGAAATCAATTTTCATGTACTTCTTCACTCAATGTACATGTTTGTTTCTTTTCTTAATTTTTATTTATTTTTTGTTTTTTTTAAATTTGTTCTTTTCATTTCTTTCATGCCATTAACCAATGTTCTTAATATATTACCTCTTTGCTCTCTGTTTTCATTTATAATACCAACTTCATCAAATATTTTCTTGTTTATTACTCCTTTTTTTTCTGATTTCTTTTTTGCATTCTTAAAGGCAATTTTTATTTTTGTTTTTGTTTTATTACCTCTGTTCCACTTCTATACAATTTCAAACATTATTTTCTTATCACTTAGTAACTTCTTTACAATATCTCAATTCATTTTTGAGGTCATATTTTATACTTCATGTCAATCATACGATTACTCAGATTTACTTTTATGAATGAATGACACTCATTTTGCATAAAATCTCTCATTGAATAAGTTTATTGTCAATAATTCTCATAAATATAAGCCTAGATTTATATTTATCATATAAGTATATATTGAAGATTTTACCAACATCAGCTGACAAAAAAATTGATATGCATAATAAAACTTGTCTTAAAAAAATTAAAGATATATAATCTATTTGGTTATAATGAATGAGAAACACTGGGATGGCCAAATTGTTAAATCACATATTGAAATTATTAACCTAAACTGTAGTGCTTTGGAGCTACAAGAGATTATTTTAAAAAAATTTTTTTATAATGATTTTCACCCTGTACAAGGCCCAGGAGCCACTCGAGGTAGAGGATTACAGAGTAAGAGGCACCACTTCAAGCAAGGTGACAATGCAACAAAGATGCAAGGTGCCACCAGGAGTGAAAGAGAGGGGAAAAAACTTTATAGGGAACTGGAAACCAACCCTAAACAGGAAACAAGGGATAAACCCTCTATCCCTGTTCAAAAGATTGAGCAGGATTGCAGGCCTGACAATAGGTGGGACCCATCTACTCCTATTGAGGAAAAATGTAAATAAATAGTAAATAAAAGTTCAGTGTTTTAGACAGAGTTACAAATATATATAGGAAGTAGAAACCCAATCCTAAACAGGAAACAAGGGATGAACCTCTACTCCTGTTCATATGATTAGAGAGGAATATGTCTCACAAACAATGCTGTTCAGTGTTAACTGACAGTAACACTATTCTACTGCTGAAACTAGCAACATAGTCTACAATTTAGTGCAAAATCTATTAAATCTTATGTTCTTATTAAAGCTGTGTTTTAATTTTGTTTTTTTGTGAGCCCTGCTTAGTGGACAAAGCTGAAAAATGAAAACATAGAACATATCATAGACGAATTTGCATCAGCAAAAACAAGGAAGATGCAGTTGTAATTGTCATGTTCTTGCATAATTTATTAATGAAAAGATTAATGATCTTGGCTTGTATTTTTGTGTTATATACAAGATAATTTTCAACATGTCAGCTGTTTGGTCAGTGGCACCCTCTCATTGCCTATTAATAGGCACTTTTTCTCCATGGATACACCTGAGAAGCAAACCTTGATAAAAAGCCAGAATTTTAAATGTTAATTATTAAAGTATGTAACCTCCGCACAATATGCACACATCATGTTACCTATTTCTGGTAGCAAATAATATGTGACATTTAATAATGTTGCCACATACTCTAAAGCTAAATTTGATGGTGTCGACAACACATTTCATAGCTAAATTAACAGTGAATGTAAATGCAACAGTAGTGTTAGAAGAAACACCACCATCTCTGCTATAACATGATAACTTCTATCTAAGTGTCAACTTAACGGAACTGTCATTGTCTGAATTTATGGAAATCCACAAGAAACTCTTCTTCCAAGTTGCATTTAAATGATTGATTCTATTTCTGGGTTGGTGTGAAGAAGCAAATTTAGTATCTAATTTTTAACTTTCTCTCTCCATTATTCATCATTATTGGCAACTTGAGATGTTCTTGGTACGATCCCCCCCCCCCCCGTCTTTGACTGAAATTTAGTGACTGCTGTTGACTGTCTGATTGAGCGGATGTTCTAAACTCTCTTTTGGGTTGGTTGGTGGGGGCAGTGATTCTGTAATCCTTGGCCTGGTAATAAAACAGAGTAGGGTGTTCAAGGATCAATCAAATTATCTGGGTCAGCAACACTTTTCAGTTCCCCTCACAGATTCAACTTGTTTTCTTTAAGTTTCTCCTCTCTTCTCATAAGTTGCTCATATCTTTTGGCTTTCTTTCTTTTAATTCTCTTTTATCATTTTTATTTTTTTCTCTGCATTTAGTCTGTTTCTCGCTTGTTTTTGTTTTTTTTTGTGTTTTTTTTTTGTGTGTGTGTGTGTGTGTATATATCTCTTTCTCTCACTTAGTTGTCTCCCCTTTTATCTTTTTCTCTTAGAATGGATAAACAGACCAATCGCCATCTGGATGTTTTTCTTGTTCTCTCTCTCCCCCTCCTCTCCCTCCCTATCCCTCCTCTCTCCCTCTCCCTATCTCCCCTCCTCCCTCTCCCCCCTTTCCCTCCTCTCCCTCCTCCCCCCTCCCTCTCCCTATCTCCCCCCCTCCCTCTCCCTATCCCTCCCCTCCTCTCTCCCTATCTCCCTCCCCCCCTCTCCCTATCTCTCCCCCCTCCCCCTCTCCCCTATCTCCCCCTCCTCCCCTCTCCCTATCTCCCCCTCCCCTCCCTCCCTATCTCCCCCCTATTTCCCCTCCCTCCCCCCTATCTCTCCCCCTCCCCCCCTCTCCCTATCCCCTATCTCCCCCCCTATCTCCCTCCCTCTCTCCCTATCCTCCCCTCCTCTCCCTATCTCCCCTCCTATCCTCCTCTCCCTATCTCCCCTCCTCTCTCCCTATCTCCCCCTCCTATTTCTCTCCCTATCTCCCCCCCCTCCCTATCTCCCCCTCCTCCCCTCCTCCTCATCTCCCCTCTCCCCTATCTCCCCCCCCCATTTCCCCCTCCCTCCCTATCTCCCCCCTCTATCCCCTGATCTATCCTATCTTATCTACTGGGATAATTACTCTTCTCAGTCCCTTTTCATTTCTAATCTACACCTGGCTGTACCTGTCTCTCATTATTTATTTTTTTGTTTACTATATCTATTGACTTTCTTTTTTTCAAAAAATTATTATCTCCCCTCCCATTTCTGCTGATCTTTTAAACAGAAAGTAATATGTTTCATTATTTATTTTTTTGTTTACTCATTGACTTTTCCATTTTACCTTTTTAAACAGAAAAAACTTTGCCATGATTCCATCCTCAAACAACAAAACTTTGCCCTGCATTCTCACTCTATTTGTTTGCAGTCATGGATATATGCATAAATGCACACGGTTGCACTATTGCCCATTTGATTCACCTTTTGTTATACCTTTGCATATCAACATATAATGTTTGCCTGTTGCAATCAGCTTGTTTCCTTTATTATTATTTAATCTCACCTTTCGCACGTGTGTACATTCAGGCATAATTCTCCGTTCTGCATGCATCATGCATATCCTTCTCCTAGGTGAGAATATGTTTGCACATTTTGTATTTCTTGCCATATAAGACAAATTCTTTTCCCTAAAAAAAAAAAAAAAATGTTCCTCCACAAATCATTGGGTTTAGGTAGATCTTAAATACCGAAATGCCTCTGCTTGAACCTCTAATCCCCTGCTACATACAGAATGAAATATATATGATTATATGTAATTAAATTATAATTATAAATAAAATGAAAAAACACAAGGGCACAAATATAAGATTCTGTTTTCCAAAATATTCCTTGCCAAATTTTTTAGGTGCATGTTATACAATAAGAAATAATGTGAGTAGTAGGAGGAGGACGAATGCATCTGATTTTGTTTACTTGCTCTTTATTTCAGATAATCAGGCAGGTCTTCCTCACTTTGAAGTTTGGTGCAACACAGTCTTCTTCCCTTATTTGCTACCATGTAAAACTTGTATGCATAGCTTGCCACTCGTATTCGAGGATACAAGTCTACTAGAGTGGCTAGCAGACACTTGCTCAGGTGCATTTCAACACCCACGGAGCCCACCTGTGGTTTATACTGCAACTATACTGAGCAGACCTTAGTTACAGTTTCTGGAAAATAGCATGTTATCTAGCATGATCAACAATTTGAACAAAGCCAGCACATTAAGTGTGCTGACATTGTTCAAATTGCTGATCGGCCATGGTGACTTGTGACTTTGTGCTAGCACAGCTATTGACGGCCTCTAAGGGTTCCATCTATCCAATTTTACTCACAAGGCTTGGGTCAACCCGTGGTATGGTTTTCAGGCAATTTCCAAAGGTGCCGCATGCTGGGATTGACCCCTCCTATTCAATAACATCTGGAAGTCACCTTCCTGACAAATTGACCATGGTGAGATTCGAACCTGGGTCTCATGATCAGAATGCAAACCTTCACGTGCCCATCATGCTAAACTTAGTAAATATGTATTTGTAGTCATATGTGATAGATATCCTAAAATTGTTTCTTGTAAACCTAATCTTCAAGTTACTAGTTATGACCGATACGAACAATCAATGTGTAAATAATAAGGATATAGTAATCACAGCCATTTGAGCTATGAATTATTACTGTCTCTACGGGTATTGTCATGTCCCTTCAGCATGTAGACAATCATGGCTCTCCACAGCTTCACTATTCTTTTAATATTATTGTGATTGTTCCTTAGGGAAAATAAATCAGTTTGCCAGTGATTTCTCCAAAATTGTCCTTCTTCTGGCTGCTTACCTAACAACCCTAGAGAATCCACACAGCTCTTTTAGTTAACCCCTAGCAGAAATTGATTCATACCTTTCTCAAGGGCATTAGTGAGAAGAAACATGAATGGTTTCAGTGTTTAAATCACATTCTTCTTCTATGTGTCATGTCCCTTCAGGACGTGAGCTATTATGAGACTACAAAATTTTTCCTATTCTTTGTCGGTCTTAGTAAAATTTGTCTTTTTGCTATCTCTCCTAATTCCTGCTCTGGAAACCATTTACATAAGTTGGTTAAGTATGTTATGCACTACTTTCCTTTGCCTCCCCTTTTACCTTCAACATATCCTGCCAGTGTCAAATTTTCTAAGCCCTCTTTCCTCATGAAATTTCCTCTAGAAATTTCAACTCTTTCTGATGCTAAGTGTCCTTTTTGTTTCCATTTTCTCTAAAAACTTTCTTGTTGCTCACATGTTCAGTCCATGGTATTCTCAGCAGTCTTCTGTTCCTTAAAGTTTGAAATTACCATCACTAAACACCTAATCTTGTTTTATTTTATTTTCTTAAGTATTAATCTTTAAATTCTCCTCCTCCTTGATATGAACACAAAACCACCGCACTTGACTTGGCTCTAGTTAAAAAAGATTATAAATAAATGGATTGTTTGATGTGTACATGGAAAGAATGAATTACGAAAAGGTACAAATGCCAGAAATATCTGGAATAATTAAACTATTTCATCTTAAAACTTCAAAATCTACATTAGTTGATATATATATATTTAGATATATAGATATTGTGTGTGTATGTGTGTCTGTTTGTCTTTAAAAACTCTATGACCTTTTCCTTTATCATTTCAGATCATTGGGGTGGGGGACAATTTTCAGCAGTTATCTGAACATACAAAAAATGTTTATCATTCTCAATGTTGGATACTTGTTTATATGTTTATTAGAATCAAATGAAAATAACAATTATTGGGCTAAATTCAGACTATTTTGTAGAAGTTGTGAAACTTTGTCATCAAGACTCCTTTAGGTCAATTGATGCAGACAAGTAAATTCCATTTGATGACCCATCTTAATTCAGCTGAATGTTCTTGAACAGATAAGGAACTCTGGCAAACCTAATAAGTACTTAATGAAGTAGGTCTGATAGTGATTACCAATCAACAGCCGAGTTTCCTTCATAGCTGTCAATACAACTTGGAGTTGTCTGGGACAAAATGACAGTGGTTTCTGCTATTCAACAAAGGTTTAATTTTTTTTTTTTTTTTTTTTTTTTTTTTTATAAAAGATCACAGATAATTCTAGGTGGTTTTGTTGACATGAAATTTGCTAAAAGAGGTTCGAATCCTTCCAGAGTGCACATTTTCTTTAATAAGATTTCTGAAATATTCAGGCTGGTAGTGGGAAATAAATAAAATAAATAAATGGAATGTCTACTCAAATATGGGTAGCCACTATAAAATAAAAAAAGTTTAAGTGATGTGTGTATATATATATATATATATATATATATATAATTTGCAGTGCCTGAATGAATTGGCTAATTATAGAAAAGTGTAAAAATTTACTTATTTAAAAATTAGCCAAATATGTGGGGGTGCTGAAAAGTTCTTAGCCTGATCAAAAGGCCTTTTTGATCAGATTTTGGGATGTGGACCTACTTCAGAATTTTCAGCACTTATATGTAAATATATGTGTAATAGCTTCCACTAAAATTTTGTCTGTGAATTTACCCCACCTTCTACAAAAAAATGTTTCCAATTAGACCCCCTCAGCTTCTAAGGTCAGCCTTAATGCTAAGTGTATATGGTGTGTGATGGCATGGCTTTCTGAGTATTATCTATTCTCTGTTGCACTCTGACTCTTCTGCCCTATATGTGTCAATTTGGGATCATGTTTGCGGGTAAAGGGCCACTGGCTGTCTTTCTTTGTTGACATAGCGTTTGCTTTTATGTCTCTAATATAAATCAGGCAATATAACCCAACTGTCTGTCATTTCATCTCCTTGTCAGGTGTGTCCAGTAGTTTGTACTTTGTAGGACATGGGGTTGGCAATGGAAAAGTTATGCAGGCACCTTTCACACTGTAGTTTTTCTTCTCATTCCATTTAAACTTAGATTTTCAGGAAATGAATTTAATTCTACTTTTGAAATCAAAAATAAATTTCTGTATATATATACCAACTTAATATATTGGAAATGATAATATGACTGAAAGAATGTCATAATTATGACTTTCATTTTGTTCCTTTGAACCATAATAATCTATCATTTTATTCACACACACACACACACACACGCATATATAATATGAAAATCATTAACTAAATATTTGTTGTGTAAAATAAATACTAAACATTACAAATTATGCATCACTTACTTTGATTAACCGTGTTACTTAAAACAATTACTTTGCTACTTATACAAATGTAAAAAATGTCTTGGCAATAATATAAGTGACAAATGGATAGAAGAAGGCACTGTTGATTATTTATGGTTAATTTGTTTAAATAATACACTGACTATTGTTTGCATCACATGACAATAATTATAAGTAAAATGAGGCACTAAAATAAGTATTCATTTTAAGTTCTGAATATTGGTACCTAAAATAAATCCCCCCCCTAGGCTGCAGCCTTATACTTTATCTATTTATGTATGTATAACTGGTTAAAGGCTTCTTTTTTTTTCTATTTGAACTGTGAGCATTTATATTTTAAGGGAAATGCAAATATGCCAAGGTGATACCTAAAATGGCTATTTAGGTATCGCCCTGAAATGTGCATAATGTGTGTAGATATCATTACAATTATACATTATGTTTGACATTTCTAAAGGAATAAAACAAGTTTTCTAATGCATTGTAGAAGACAATTTGGAACCCTTGATGAATAAAGTCTTTTGAATCTAAGTTCTTAATGTATCATCTACTGAAGGTTCCTTCAACTTAATGTGTGGAGATTGAGGACATGGAATAGACATTGGGAAGAAAAAAAATCTTGAGATACATTTTGGTATTAAATTATATAAGGCTTATATATTGGACTTTGTTCATTTGGTAGATTCAACATGACATTTTTTTTTTTTTTTCAACTGTGAATATTGAAAAAGAAAAAACTAACTGAAATAAATGTTGGACTATGTGTGTGTAAGACTAAGAGAAAGCAAAAAAAAAAAAAAAAAAGGTTTGTTACAGAGAAATTTCTCTCCATAGACGTGTATCAGGAAGACATATACTAATACCTATATTATATCACAAATTATTTAGGTTTTTCTGTCTTTAATAGAATATAATTGCCTGTTTGAATCAAGGGGGGGGGGATAATTGACTATCCATGATTTCAGCCATGCAGAGAAAGTGTGAAAATTTGTCACCCACTGCAGGGTGGGTGGAGGTGGATTAACTTTCAACAATTGAACCACTTTCCTTC